CAAATTCAGTCCGAGCACTGTCGAGCTACGACACATCCACACAAATTTGTAGACAATCCAGAATTCACCAACCAAACAGTAGAATCTAGTTGTCATCATGAATCCAATTTGTTCCCATCGAGGTAAGAGGGTCCTCCTTACCCTGACTCCTGTCGGGAGAAGTTGATCGATTTTGTTGAGAGACCAGCTGATCCTTCCAATTACAGGGTATGCAGAAAAAAAAAAGAGAGGCTTTTTTAAGGGTTCACAGGACGAAAGAATGCAAGCAGGGAAGCGGGGGAGGTATGGAGCGCCAGGAAACACGTCTGTCTTCACCGGAGTACAGAGGGAAAAAAAACAGGCAAAAAAATAACTTCCAATAACAAGTTCCTCTTCTCTAACCTTTACACCACCACTCCCACTTACTTTCTGCACGTTTAAATAAAATTCATCCAGTGTTTTATCAGGAATTTTTGCAAAAGGCAAACACAAAAACAAACTTGGACGAAAACACTATTGTAAGTCTTAGCCTTTAGATAAAAACAAGAGCTACAGAAGCAACCTCCTCCCAGCATCTATCCGCCACGATCTCAGCCGTTTAAATGAGCTGAAAAGGGTGTCTACAAAATCATTCTCAAACATACAAACACCTGTTCTAGATCACAAACACGCACAATAGTTATCTTTACCCGCTTCTTCCTTTTTGGCTCACAGGGGTGGTGCCCACATTCAGCTATCACTGCGCAAGAGGCGGGGGACACCTGGACAGGTCTCCAGTCCATCACAGGGACACCTGGACAGTAGGAATGTGCAATATGGCATAAAATTCATATCACAATATGTATTGTGAAGGGTGGCGATAACGATATATATCAAGATATGTTTTTTGTATAAAATTTGCAATAGAAATGAAAAAAAGCATAGGGTGTCCTTTTGCCATCATTTATTTTGAAAACTGCTATACAACAAAATAATCTCAATTAAGAAAATTCCACCACTAGGTCCAGAGAGTTTTTAAATAATAAACAAATCAAGTATTATGCTTCTTTGTTGTAGTGCAAAAGATATCAAATATAGTTTTAACCATATATTTTAAACTAAAGAATATGTTGTTAACTCAACAGTTTCCAGTCAGCAACAGAGTAGCAAGTGCATGCTGAAAACACTTCACCCTCCAACCCTCTAGTGGGTGACTCTTTCCACTTTGAGAGCTGACACAAAATGGCGACCAGTTTCCTCTGTGGCTTTGACCAGAGGGTCTCGCAGTAAAATCACACAACACAGAGTTCTTTTCACAATTCAGAGAGCAGGTTTCTCTAAAGCTGACCAACACTTACTTTAACTTTCGACGGGGGGAAAAAAAAAACCTTTGACAGAGCACAGCAATTGCGTCCGAACAGGGCAACACTACGGCAAACTGGGCATAGTTAGTATGTAGCTTCGCTACTTAGCTCTCGAAGAAAAGACTAACACCACTTACGCACAGTTTTCAACCCAAAAAAAGTAACGAATAAACTGACAACTCTGATTTTACATCAGACACAGAATTTATTGCAGTTAGCCGGTAGAAGACATATCTCTACCGTAGGCTAAATGTCTATTGTTCCTGTCGTGTACCGTATATATCGTGCATTCCTACTGGACAGGTAGAGGGAGGGAGGTCGGTCGGTCGGTCGGTCGGTCGGTCGGTCGGTCGGTCGGTCGGTCGGTCGGTCGGTCGGTCGGTCGGTCG